GGAGTGTTGAATTGAGTTTTGAAAGTTTGATGTAACATGTGAAATAAGAAAATTTGTTTGGTGATGAGTTTTTAAAACTTAATTCAACCTATAATTGATAATTAAACACACAACTCATAACTCGATATTTGTTTTTTTGATCAATAGTCATAACCAAACTATTTTTAAAATACTCAAATAAAAAAATATTTTTTTTTTTCAATGAATTGTTTTTAAGTAATTTTTTTGAATACTTTTTTTTTTTCAAATAACTTCTATGTCAATTATTTTATGTCAATTAATTTTTCTGTCAATTAATTTTTTAGGCCTGTATAAATATTAAAACTATTAAAACAAATAACTTCTATGTCAATTAATTTTTCTATCAATTCATTTTTTAGGCCTGTATAAACATTAAAAATATTAAAAATATTTTAAAATTATTTAGAAAAATAAAATATCAAAAATATTCCGAAAATTAAAATATTAAGAATATTAAAAATATTCCGAAAATCAAAATATTTACAATTAAAATATCAAAATATTAAAATATTTTTATGAAAATTAAAATATTAAAAATATTCCTATAAAATAAAATAAAATAAAATATTTAAAATAAAAAAATAAAAATATTTAAAATAAAAATTAAGTTGTTTTTGAGTTTTGAAAAGAGTTTTGAGTTGTGTGTTTAGTTATAAGTTTTGAAAAGTAATGATTATAGTTTGAAATGGGTGTAGAATTATGATTTGAAAACTGCAACCAAATACCGCACTCAAATTAGTGGTGGAACTATGTTTTGAAATCTAAACCAAACAGAGCCTAAGTTATTTACTTAGACGCAAGCTTGGACCATAAAAGTAAACAAAAGGAAAATCATAAACAAAGTCTCGCACGTGAGGCGTCCATAGCAAACTCCACGGTATCTGATATCCTTAACGGGTTCACTAGGGTTGAGGTTGAACATCCCGCTGCTCACCTACATACATATAAAAAAAGAGTAAGCTAACGCCCAGTGAATAATACCAAAGTAAAGGGGTTGAGTGAGTGAGCTCCTTTTAACAGATAAGCATTTCTAATCAGTCAGTAGGCATTTTACATCAGAACGACCTCGGGTCCAGTATGCGATGGAACGACCTTAGGTCCAATAGATAGTAGAATATATAGTACGAGTTCAATCATTACTTAACAGAACAGAATGGCCTTGGGCCCAACAGTGTATAGAATGACCTCAGGTCCAACAGTTAACAGACTCACCGATCGGATTCAGTTATCTCTTAGTAGAACGACCTTGGGTCCAATCATTTATAGTAGTAAAATGGCCATTCAATTATTGCAATTGCATATCAGTCATTCAGATTAGTCAGAGATTCAATCATTTCATATTAGTCAATCAGTCTTATCAGAGATCCAGAACGACCTTGGGTCTACTTTATTAGATACACAAACGGCCTTAGGCCCAATTCAGATATATGAGCAATCTCGCTCTATGATTCTGTTGTACAGACAGTATATCGTTCAGTCGGATGGTGACTCATTCACATGTATCGAATTGTTGATTCGGAAAAACTTACCATATAAGGACAATCAGAAAATAAGGTACAAGAAAAATATCTTTACTAAAATATTATTCACAGTGTCGGTTGATTGATTTGTCCTCACGGTTTACCCTGCACAATTCATAACACATACAGAAATCGGGTCACAATACTATTCAATCCGTTCTTCAATTCATTTATCTCTCTTAGGCTTCGTTGTAACTCTTTAGCTCACTTAGAATGCTCGTTGTTTGCCTAAGAATGCTTAGAAATGAAAGAGAATGGAATTTGGAACATAAAACAACTTTTCAAAGTTTCCTGAAGTAGGGCACTTCGCTCGAGCGCAGCATTGGTCGCTTGAATGAACCCTTCAGTGTGCAAAAGTAGTGGATGCTCTCATTTTACGGTTGAGCCAACTCTTTGGTCGCTCGAGCCAAGACTGAAAATAAAGGGTGGTCACTCGAGCCAACCCCCAATGTCTGTAAAAGTACTGGGAATTTGATATGTACGCTCGAGCGATACTTCCATCGCTGGAGCGAACTGTACGAATTTTGGAATTTCCAGAATTATGTTTGAAACTCAAACTTGCAATTCAAAGGCTTAAACCTTGCATGATTGGTATAAAATCATGGAAAAACATTGTATAACATGAAAACATTCCACTTTGAAACCAATTACTCAAAACTTCATGAATTTGACAAAATGAAACTCTCAACTATCATGCAAGTATGAATCTAGCTTGAACTCTTGTTCTATCATCTTCAAAACATGGAATTGAGTTTTGTAATCTTATGATTAATGCATGTATCAAATGACTCCCAATTCAACATGATTGTCATGGTTTATGCTCAAATATGAAAAATCATAACAAGTTTATACATGCATGCACATTTTGATCACATTTTCACCATATTCAACTCAATTCTTGCAGTTACCTACATACTCTTCTTGAATTTATATTTATGTGGCTTAAGTTCATGAGTTAGAGTTCAATTACTCACCTAAAGCCTTTAATTCTTCCAATCCTAGCAAGTTCTTGGGCCTAGCTTCCCAAATCTTCAATCTCCAGGTCAATTTCTTCAAGTTCTTGCCTTCCTCTCTCTAAAATGGTGTTCGCTCTCTCTACAAGTGTATAATCTCAGCACATGGATGAAGAAGAGCTCATTTCTATGAGCCTAAGCGCTAATCTCATCATCTGTATAGTGGGTGATTAGCTTAGGCTAATTAAGCTTGATTAAGGCTAAGCAATCTTACTTAAGTTTAATCAATTAAATCTAATCAAGTTGATCCGAATCAATTTTCAATCAAATTCCACTATAAGCTCTAAAAATTATGCTAATCACAATGGTATAGTCAATTTTGGTTTCTGCCACTTCTACGGCTCTCAATTTCAATTTATTATACAGAACACAACATATTTTCCTGCAATGAACATATATGAATTCAAAAACATATACAAACACATGTTTAGCATCCAAATTCATATTAAGCATATAATCACAAGTGTAATTAAAGGTTAACGGCATAATGCAGAACGGGGTTGTCACAGAATTGGTCATGGCTTACAGGATATTTTAGAAGCTCATAAAGGTCCATTTACAAGCTAGGGCCATAAAGGCCTGCTGTCGGAGTGAAGGATCATCAACAAGGGCGTTTTAGTGCATTGTAGATTCTTATCCGAGACTTGTATCATTTGATGATGTCATGTGAATCACCAGAAACATGTGACAAATCGGAAATTAATGGAAAGTTACAATCCCCACCACGGAATAGTGCACCTACACACCTTCATTGATGTTTTTTGACTGGAAGACCGACTAACTATAAAAGAAACAGTTGGCGATAAGCTTGTGCTTGGACCTTTTATGGCAGATATTGGTGCGCAAACTCCCTTCTATATTTTTCAAGAATGGACTAATCCTAAGTCAAAGGGTCGAGAAACTCAATGCCACTATTCTTGAACAACTTGGAGTTGGGCCTTTTTTTCGCACTATTAGGGATATGAAGATAATGGGAAAAATGGAGGCGTGAATTAGTTCCTGCTTGTGAGGTATGGAAGGAGATCAAATTTGAATTCCTAGCAATGGATGCTTTGTAATTCACTAATTACCGTTCGTTCTCTTAATTGAATTGCAATTAAACTTGGCTCAATCTTTTACTAAAAGGATTGGGCCGAGGTAGGAAACTCTCAAGTACGGTTCTAAGGGAAGGAATTGACAGGCCTATTCCGACTAGGGGGAATAGGCCATTCGGCAAGGAGATTTTGAAATTGTGGAGGGTGACCGATAGCGAAGTAGTACCGTGAGGGAAGGGTGAAAAGAACCCCCATTGGGGAGTAAAATAGAACATGAAACCGCAAGCTCCCAAGCAATGGGAGGAGCCCGGGACTCTGACCCCATGCCTGTTAAAGAATGAGTCGGCGACTCATAGGTAGTGGCTTGGTTAAGGGAACCCACTAGAGCCGTTTCTGTTTGGGTATGCGACCTTGGATTGTTGTTGTTGCATATTCAGCTCCTGTTGCAGCTGTTAATGCTGTTTTCTTGATCTACCCAATCGGTCAAGGAAGTTTTTGCAAGAAATTTCTAGCCAATCTTCATGCAAGAGATCTTTTCTTAACATCAAGCATGTTGGTACTAGATAGAAATGATAACTCCAACAATTTCTATCCTGTGTTTCACTCTGATACTGTCAATGCATAGGAAATGAATGCATTTCCATACTATTCAATCTTAAATAAGTGAAATAGACAATGTAATTATCTCAAAAGCCTCTCTATAAGCTTATTAAAAAGCGCAAAAAAAAAAAAAGTTTTAATGTGATTTTGTAATTGTGTTTTCACTTACTAAAAGCTCTTTTGTTGTTGTGCTTTGTGCTTTAAGCACGCTTTTATCAACATTGCACATGATTTGATTCAATTTAATTCACTTCATGATTCGCAAATTAGGATTTTGATTCATGATGAGATTCTTGACTTGATAACTATGATTGTAATATTGATATTCATGTAATTTAGGTTTTGTTTTCTTTTGATATTGTGTTTGTTTGGGTTTCATTGATCGTTCTACTTAGAGAAATGCTAGAGACCCGCAATTTAGACCTCGAAATTTGCCCACAATGATATGACAAGAGAGTTAGGCCCTATAAGGTTGAGTGTGACAAATCAAAAGTTGACACTTATCATGTCACATCATTGTGGGTCAAATAGGGGGAGTTTTTTTGGAGGTCTCAAGCATTTTCCTTATACTTTTTAACCGTTTTGTTATTTTATCTCATGGTCATAATCTGTCATTTTGGCCAAAAGCATTATGATGACTGTTCTGTTTGGTTTTGATTATCACTGATTTTTATATATATTTGTTGATTGAGAATTATGGTCACATGTACTGGTAAGTTGATATTTTCTTTTCTAGTCGTCTATCATCATGATTATGAGTTTTTATGTCTTCCAAGTACAGTGAACCTTATTGTGTGGAGCTGTAATTGCAGGTTAAACTGGATCCTTCTAGGCCATTGAGCAAGCATAAGCATTGGGTGGTTGCTGAAATTTTGAAAAAAGCACGAATTTATGAACCACCATCGGTGGGAACTACTACCGGTTCAAGCAACAAGAGTGAAGTATCAATTTCTTCCTCCTAAGGTTTGGGTACAACCCTTGTTTTGAATGAATATATGGATTTGGCAACCTTGTATTTAAAGGTTATACTAAACAGTTGTTTAGTAGCTTCTATTTCAGTTTCCTTCTGAAGTCACATTTATTATTATTTTTTGCCCGAAAATAGTTGTCTGGAATTGTTTCCCTATTATGTGTTTATCTTATTCTGTTCACTTCTGCGGTTGTTCCTAAAAGCTAATTTTGATGCATCTAATGCTTACAAGAGATTACGGACCAGCATTTGAAAAGGCTGAGTCAGAGAACGGTGAATAAACTTACATACCAATGTACATATACGTGTGCATATTATATACATTATAAACGTACATTTATGTCAGTATAGGAAATTATATATTCATGTATATTCCACCCAAAAAATATATTCATGTATATTAGAAATTGGCTCTGTTTCGAGGTGATTGTGTCGTTTGAGATATGTGAAACAGCTTAAACATGTGCAATCATTTTGTTTGGCATTGTTGATACAATTTTTGAGATGTAAAATTTTCAATCACATTTTGAAACTTCTGTATGTAAAGAGAAAAGTTAGGGATCATGAAATTTTTTTCATGAAAATGATCATGGAAGATTTATGATCTTTGGATTACCTTGATTAGTGTGTGGTGCTTTATTCTAAGTGTAATTCAAGGGTCACAAAACTTTTATGATTATTTTCATGAAAGATTTTTCATGATACCTAGCATTACTGGTATGCAAATATCTATTTTTTTTTTTTTTAAACTACAAATATCTACTATTTAGTCATTGAAATAAACAACTTTGATTATTTGTTTGTAGGTTTCTATTTCCAATTTGGTGCTCCAATCATTAATTACTCACTCAAAATAAGCAAAATCTCCGGTTAATAAAGAACAAGAGTTAAAAAGGAAAAGAAGAGATTTAAAAGGAAATGTTTCTTTCGTTAAAGTTTTGGGAGTTTGGAGCCCTTGATTACATGATATCATACAACACAATAATTTTCAATTATGTCAAAGAAAAGCCAAACTGCAGATTTGAACCTTTTGAATGTTGCAGAAGAGCTCCACTTACTGAACGTAGAAAACACTACTTGCAGCGTGTTGGTTCTCTTATTTATTGAGGGTCATTGATAAGAATCACTTCTATTTATTGATATATATTAAAAAATTACAAAAACTTAAAAAATCTATATATCTATACTATATATTAAGCAAAAAGGGATTTTTAACTCCAAGCCTTGTGAGAGCTCCAATCTCCCAATCTAAATTTCCTGATTTTTTGATTTAAAAAAAAAAAATCTTAGCATTTATTAACTTCTCCCAAGTCCTACCCTCATAATAACATTTTAATGTATTAAAAACAAATATAATTTTTTTTTTTAAAATCCAACACATGAATTTTTTGAAAAGTCCTAATACATATGATTATTATCCCTCTTAATAACACTTTAACGCATTAAGAACAAACATAAAAAAAATTCTTGAAAAGTCCAACACATATGATTATTATCAAAATATTAAATTTTAATATAATATTAAAAAAGAAAAAAAGAAGGCATTTAAAAAAAAAAAGACATTTAAAAATCGCAATTCACATATATAGATAATTATAAACACAATCTGTGCATAGCACGGGTGATATGTTAATACTATATATTAAGCAAAAGGGGGTTTTTAAATCCCAAGGCTTGTGGGAGCTTCAATATCCGAATCTGAATTTTTAAAATTTTTTATTTAAAAAAAAAACTGAGCATTTATTAATTTGGTCAAAATTTCCTGATCAGCATTTATTAACTTTTTTCAATCCACATGTCTTTTCACATGCCTGCATTTATTGATTTGGTCAGAAACTCCTGATCAGCATTTAAAATCACCTCATACAAATAATTATAGATACAATTTGTGTATAATTATTGCAGTACCCTTTTCAACTTCTCCTATACACTATGGTTAGTGATAAGATTGTTAAATTATTTTTATAAAAAGTCTTAAAAAACATAATTTATATATTAAAAAAAATCTAAAACAAATACAAATATCTAAAATTATCTCACGCATAGCACGGGTGATAGGCTAGTATATATATAAAGAAAAGGGGGTTTTTAACTTTCAAGTTTTGTGAGAACTCTAATATTCTAATTTTAATTTTTTAATTTTTTAATTTTTTGATTATAAAAAATAAGTAACCTCAATATTTTTTGACTTCTCCTAATTTATAAACTTTTTTGACTTCTTTCATAATTATTGTAATATTTTTTTCAACTTCTCTTATACATTATGATTAGTGATGGGATTGTTAAATTTTTTTTTTGTAAAAAATCTAAAAAAAAAATCTAAAACAAATATAAATATCTATATCTATGTCTATTATATAAGAAAAATAGGGTTTCTAATGAGAAGCCTCCAAGAGTTTCAAACTATCATTCTAAAGCTTGCTTGGTTGTGTTTTTTTAAACACTTTTCTAGAAAATTTTACTTTTTTATTTTTCGTATTTTTTTGTTTTTATTGAATTTTTTTTAATATTTTAAATCATTTTTTTAAAACTTTTTAGACATACCTAACATAAATATACCTAAAAAGTAAAAAATTTGTGAAAAAAATCTTTTAAAAATTCACTAAATACCAAAAAAATACGAGAATTCAGTATATTTTTTGTATTTTTATGTATTTATTAAATTTTTAAAATATTTTTTCAAATTTTTTTTTTTACTTTTTAGATACATCTAAGTAAGGTGCATCTACAAAAGTAAAAAAAATGTTTAAAATTTTAAAAATATTCACTAAAAACAAAGAAAAATACGAAAACCAAAAAACTGAGTTTTCAAAAAACTTAATTCAAAAAACTCAAACCAAACACACTGATGATTTTTCAATTTATAAAATAGATTAAAAAAACCTATTGGCAGATTTATTTATTTAATAATATAATTATCTATTTTTTTTATGTATATCTATCAAAATTTTAAATCACTTAATAAGAAAAACTAATTAATTTTCTAAAATTATTCAGTGTGTTTGGTTTAAGTTTTTTTGATTAAGTTTTTTGAAAACTGAGTTTTTTAGTTTTCGTATTTTTTTTAGTGAATATTTTTAAAATTTTAAACATTTTTTTAACTTTTTTAGATGCACCTTACTTAGATGTATCTAAAAAGTAAAAAAATTATGAAAAAATTAATAAGTACATAAAAATACAAAAAAAGTACTGAATTCTCATTTTTTTTTTTATATATTTGGTATTTAGTGAATTTTTAAAAGGTTTTTACACAATTTTTTTACTTTTTAGGTATATTTATGTTAGGTATGTCTAAAAAGTAAAAAAAAAAAAATTGCTTAAAATATTAAAAAATGCAGTAAAAACAAAAAAAAAATATGTAAAAAAAGAAAATAGAATTTTCTGAAAAATGTTTTTAAAAAAGAGGAACCAAGCAAAGTGATTGATTTTTCAATTTATAAAATAGATTTAAAAAAAAAACTATTGGCTGATTTACTTATTTAATTAATTTAGAAATAATAATTATCCTTTAATTTATGAATTTCAAATGGAAAGAAAACAAAAATATTTCATAATCTCTCCATCCTCATCTCTTTCACCAATTTCCAAAAATAATATTAAAACTTGCCTGCCTTCTCTCTTTCCCAAAAAATTGGATAATATTTTTCATGAAAGTTGTGAATATCTGTCTATATCTTTATATATTATATTATAACATAGCCAAAAATAAAAAATAAAAATAAAAATCAGATATACAAACTGATAAAATTAATAAATTTGATTTTTATTTATTCAATTAAAATCTTTCTTTTACATCTCAATATCCAGTTTTAAATTTTAAAAATATTTAAAGTTTATCTAAGCAAATCTAATTAGAAACCATAGATAAATTAAATTGAAAAAAAAAAATAGAAACCCACGACTCCATCTTAAATAAATTGAAAAAAAAAAAACCAAATTGAAATCACGCAAAAATAAAAAAATAAAAAGATAAGAATTTAGATATGGATCTCAAAAAAAATGACAATATCTAAATTTGAATTATGATTTAGTAATATAATTATCTATTTTTCTTATGTATATCTATCAAAATTTTAATCACTTAATGAGATAAATTAATTAATTTTTAAGTCTTATTTAAAAAATAATCTGATTAGCCATTCCAACTCTTGGACTTCGCGAGCACTAGTAGATGAGCTAACGTATTGGGTTAGATGAGGTCTAAGTTGTTGGAGGTAACATTCTCTCATTCCATAAATTTATTTGCTTTTTAATTTTATGTTTTTTTCCATTTGTGATTTTCTTTCTCTGTTGTTGGTTTGGTTTTGGTTTCAGTTTTAGTGATGTTTATGTGTTTGTTTACAGATTTGCATGGTAGAGAAGAATTATTGGTAATTATGGTTGCAATCGAAGTATCTATGTCCGTTTTGTACCAAGAATTTTGATTGGATTTTGTTTTCTTCAATGAAGACCATAAAATTGAAGTAAAAAAATTGGGTATCAAATTTTTTATTTTTATTTTTTATTGTCATTTTATTTTATAAAAAATGTGAAAATTTATTGAGAATTCAAGATTTTACTATAATATTAGGTAAATAAATGTGAAAATTTATTGAGAATTCAAGATTTTACTATAATATTAGGTAAATTTAAACATTTAAATATCATTGTGTTATTTATTTTTATCATTTTTCTATCCCATTATACAATTACAGCTATTTGTTAGTTTGTTAATCATAATTCAATTAATTGAAAATAAAAGCTTAATATAACATTTTATATATATTATAGTTAATTTGTTACAACTATAATTGTATATAATAGCATAATATATAGGGATAATCTCTAAATATAATTTCCATTTTTTTATGTGATTAAATAGTTCATCTTAAATAGTATATAAAAGAATTAGTTGGCTTCTTTTATCTCTAAGAAACCCAATCTATTTTGTTTTTTACTTTTTAATTTTTAAATTGAAACATCAATTGTTTATGTCCATAAAACAAAACTGATAAACACATATCCAAAAGCTGTACATTTTAAAATTTTTTTTTGTTATAATATGTAGGATATTTACAAATTGAAAATGTTTGACATCTCAAATTTTTTCCATAATCTGACTTATAATGATGTAGTCATAAGGGTCAATTTTTATACAAATATGAAAAGAGAATTAATTAAATTATACATTTCAACCAACCACATA